ACTATTTTACAACACAACAAAAAAATTATTATAATAACTTATAATATATTAAAATAATAAACTAACAAACTAAACTTTTTAAAATATAAGTTAAATATAAATTTTTCCTTAAACAACTATTAAACTATTCTTTAATATAACTTTAACTATTCTTTAATATAACTTTAACTAATAAACTATTCTTTAATATAACTTAAACTAAAAAACTAATTAACTAATTTTTTATATAATATAAATTCAACAAACAAATATAACTTAACTATTTAACTAACACAAACTAATTAAATACTTTTTTATATATAACTAACGACTAACAAACTAACTAATTATTTTTATTAATATGTAACTATCAAACATACTAATTAAATATTTTTTTATTTCTATATGATATAACTTAAACAAAAAACTAATTAACTATTTTTTACCCTAATTTATAATAATAAACTAATAAACTAATAATTTATAACAATAAACTAATTTAAATAATTATTCTTTTATATAACTTAAACTAATAAGCTATTTTTTATTATAATAAAACATTAAACTACTAATAAACTATTTTTTATATAATATAAATTCAGCAACCAAAATATAACTTAACTATTTAACTAACTACAAACTAATTAAATATTAGACTAACTAACACACTAATTAATTATTTTTTTAATATATAACCATCAAACAAACTAATTAAATAATTAACTAAAATTTTGTTTTAACTTAAACCATAAACTAACAAACTAATAATTTAAAATAATTAAAAAGCTTACCTCGATGTTGTGCTCTCCCTTTCTTCTTCTTCCTCGTTTCTCTGTTATCTTCTCCTTTCCTATTTTCTCCCTTTCTTTCTCTCTTAATTGTTTCACTCATTAACCCCATCCATCCAATATATAATACAACAACAGGGCAGACTCTGCTTCAATTATAGGTCGTCGAGTCATTCACGTTCACGGGCTGCAATAATGCAGCAATAAGTGCTGCAATAATGCAGCTGAATTCACGTTGCATGGGAGCAGAGGAGCAGCGACAGCAGAGCACGTGAGAGCTCGGGCCATGCAAAGAAGGCATAGGTCGTTGGGATCCCTTGGCGACCAACAATGTCGCTGGGATGCCCTGGCGACCTACCCAACGTTGCCATGCTGCCACCCAGACCCATGCCACGTTGCCATGCTGCCATGCACTCCAAGCTCGCCCGGATGGCATAGCGACCTACGGCAACACTGTGGAAATCACTCCATTTGAGCAATTAATCTGGGGATATCATTATTTCGTGAAATAAACAATTTGAGAGCATTATCTCGTTGATTTTTCCTAGATAAAACCATAGTAATATTATTTACAGTTATATCAAGTTCCACCTACTATTTTAGATTAATTATATTACAATTATATATCGATAATAATTAAGATCTAATACTACAAAGAGATGTATTACACATTTTCATCAGTATTGAACAAGTTGAATTTTCATTTATTATTTGATATGTTTGATTTTTATTATTATCAAGGGCGGACCTCCATGGTGCCCGGGGTATCCCAGGCAACCCCTCATCTAGGGGTGGACCTCCATGGTGCCCGGGGTATCCCAGGCAACCCTTCATCCAAGGACGGACCTCCATGGTGCCCGGGGTATCCCAGGCAACCCCTCCACAAGTGTCACCCCTAATATAAGTGCCACCCCTGAGGCTCTTGCAACCCCTGAATTTTTATCCTGGGTCCGCCTCTGATTATTATTTGATGATAAATATTTTCCTATTAAACGGATTCTGAAATTGCGATCTGAAGCATCTTCCATTACCTCAACCGTTCCTGTGCAATTGAAGGATATTTGGGACATGATTCGAATCAAAGGGCAGAAGGTCAATTGGCATAAATTAATTTGGTTCCCATTGCATATTCCTAAGTATAGTTTAATAGCTTGGATGACTCTTCTCAACAGGCTGCCTACTAGAGATCGGCTCATTAAAATGGGAATTTGCTCAGAAGCTCACTGTGTAAACTGCAATTTTAACCAAGAAACAAGGGACCATCTTTTCTTACATTGTCCTATGGCAGCAGACCTCTGGAAATCTGTTTTGAACCTTAATGGGATGAAGCCATCGATTATATCATGGGATGGTATGGTTTCAAGGGCTTCTTCTTCATGGAAAGGGAAGTCTCTCCTTATCACCATTTTGAAAATTTCTTGGACTGCTTGCATCTATTTTCTATGGCAGGAAAGAAATCAGAGGGTCTTCCTAGGACGTCATAGAACGGTTGAAGGTTTGCTCAAAGATGTCAAAGAAGTCGTTGGAATTAGACTAAGGGGAACTAACATAAATAGACTTGATAGTACTAATCTAAAGCTTTGTAATGCTTGGGATATTGTCTAACCAATCTCTTTTGTATTGATTTACCTTTTGTCGTTTCTCTTGATTGGTTGATTGGTTGTATCTTTTTGACATTGGGTAATAAAATCTGAATTATCCAAAAAAAAAAATATTTTACTTTACATAATTTTAAACGGTTTTATCTTGTTTGCAAATATTATGTCTATCGATCAATAATTATTTGTACTAATGCAGATGATTAGCATGAGAAATTTAGAAGTATCTCAAGAATAACAAAATGTTAAAGCAATGGTTATTCAAAAAGAAAATATTGAATCATACTCAAATGAATGAAATATCATTTTAATTAATAACGAGATAATTTATTATATATATTTTAGAGTAAAGTTGGCAAATGATCTTTCGAGTATAAGATATTACTTTATTAGTATCATAACTATTAAAAGTTATAAAATAGTCCTCCGATTAAATAGAATTGCTTTGTTGAATCAATCGATTTTTAAAAGTTACAAAATGATCATTTGACTATTCATCATGTTCCAAACTCATCCTTTTTCCGTTAAAAATTAAAAGCAGTCTGAGTTGGACATTAACTTGTTGGCTAAGATATAATAAAATCTGATATCATAATCTCAAACGACTATCATATCTCAATCAGCATGTTAACGTCCAACTCAGATGACCATTAATTCTTTAACGAAAAATGACGAGTTTAGAACATAATGAATAGTTAGATGATCATTTTATAACTTTTAATAGTTGAGAACAAAACAACTCCCTGTAGTCAGAGATCATTTTTTAACTTTTAATAATTAAGGGACTAAACAAAACAATATCTTATTGACGGGACCATTTGTTTACTTTACCTTTTATTTTAACTAAAAAATTAACACTAAATTAACAAATGAGTATAGCTGCCAGATATATGAGGGGTGTAAATTTTATTTAAATTTCTTTAAGAATAATTTAGTTTTCGATTTTTTATATTTAATTAAATATTTATACCGAAAAATCTAGTTAATTAAGTTATTAAGAAAAAATTATATAAGTTGAGTCTCAGATCAAATTATTTGTGACATTCTCTCGATTAAAAAATGACAAGTATTATACCTCTAAAGATATCTTCTAGAAATAATATATCCGTCCATAATTCATTCAAAGTTTCATACTCCCAAAATGACTACAGTCTTACAATTAATCCTATAACAGTTTTATACAATTTACCAAAATCAAATATGCTTCAACAATTATAATTATCTTGTTTAAATCAACCTACATATAACTATCACCGTTATAGGTTTGACAACAATTATCCTATAACTGAACTATTTATATCACGAAAAAAGTTTAAAAGGTGATTTTCTTTCTCTTTTCCTATTCTCTCGCCTACATTGTTCGTCTTCTTTAATACCATTCTCTTTCCTCATGCATATCAATCTTGACCCACGATTGAATTTTTATCAACTATAATTTTTTTCATCCAAATAAAAAATTGTTAACGGCCGACAAACCAAATCCATCAAGAATCTTTCCATTATGAACAACTTACAAAAATGCACTACTCCTTTTACCTCAGCCAAAACTAAGGTTTGCAAGCTTTTGTTTTTCCTGCAAGTAAGCGTCATTTACATGCACCGTTACACATGGCATTTTGGGGCTCTTACTCCCCTACCTTGTTCCAATAGTTAGAGTTGTTATATTTTTAACAACCTTTTTACGTTCCTGATCACCTAATCAACAATGTAATCATTCTCAATTCTACCAAATTATCAAAAAATACATCAAATCAATACATGACCAACTCCACCCACTGAAAAAACATCATTCAAACATATATGGGTTTCCATTGGTTTAGTTATTTACAGACAACCTAAAAACTTGCAAACCGTGTTCACATCCTTTCACACTAACATTTCGGTCCCAAAAGAGCAAGAAGAAAAGTCCTGTAATGTCCGGATGTTGCGGAGTGAACCGCCTCGTCCAAGGTCTTTTTGTATTTTCTCAGGTACTCGGCTTTGACATACTGCATATCGTTTTCGGTAAAGAAAATATTGAATCATGCTCAAATGAATGATATATCATTTTAATTAATAACGAGATAATTTCTTATATATATTTTAGAGTAAAGTAGGCAAATTATCTCTCGAGTATAAGATATTACTTTATTAGTATCCTAACTATTAAAAGTTATAAAATGATCATCCGATTAAATAGAATTGCTTTGTTGAATCAATCGATTATTAAAAGTTACAAAATGATCATTTAACTAGTCATCATGTTCCAAACTCATCTTTTTCCGTTACAAAATTAAAAGCAGTCTGAACTGGACATTAACTTGTTAGCTTAGATATGATAAAATCTGATATCATAATCTCAAACGATTATCATATCTCAATCAACATGTTAACGTCCAACTCAGACGACCATTAATTCTTTAACGAAAAATGACAAGTTAGAACATAATGAATAGTCAGATGATCATTTTATAACTTTTAATAGTTGAGAACAAAGCAACTCCCTATAGTCGGAGTTCATTTTTTAACTTTTAATAATTAGAGGACTCAATAAAACAATATCTTATTGCCGGACCATTTGTTTACTTTACCTTGTATTTTAACTAAAAAATTAACACTAAATTAACAAATATTAAAAGGTTAAATTTATCCTATGTAAAAAAAAATCCCGTTCTCTTGTATATAATGTATTTACACTACAACACTAGAACTTGTCTTCTGTTTTTGAAGGTTCATTTTCATGGCTCCACTTCCCTGTCTCTTCTCCCATCTCTAGTGGCCATTTTCTGCCCATATCTCTCCAATATATCACCTAAATCGAATAATCCCACTTCCCTTAATTTCTTGCTCACCTCCTCAAACATCATTACGCCTTCCTCATTCGAGTAATAGTGTAAAAATCTGTTGTAATCGAATCGGGGCACTTCCATTCCTCCTTTCATTGTTCTCTCCACATACTTGGTAGCCTCTAATGTCTTCCCAGCCTTAATCAAACCCCCCACAAATATCGAGTCGAAATTCACCAATGCATCATGTCCTTTCCTCCCTCTCTTCCCCAAATGACCTTGAAGTAACATGATATACGTATGCATGATCGGCTCACAACCTCTCTTTATCATCTCTCTAAAGATTTGTGTTGCTTCACTTGCTTTCCTCAACCTCAAAAGCCCCTTTATTAGTCCATGGTAAACATCGATATCCGGATTCTTGATCCCATTCGCAATCCTATAAGCCTCTCTAATCCTTCCCCTTGCTAAAAGCCCGTAAATAATCGAAGCCAAGGTCGAATTATCAGCTTGGATCCCTCTTTGGCGCATTTCGTCGAACACCCCATTGGCTTGCTCAATCTTGTCTCTCTTGCACATCCACTTGATCACAACCCTGTAACTCGAAAGCCCCAAATCGGACATTCTCTTAACTCTCATCATTTGGAAAACTTTCATTGCTTCATCATATTTATTCGTCTTGAAAAGTGTCTCCATCATCGTCTCGACGACCTCGACATCGAGCTCGAACCCTTCATCCACCATCAGATTCCAAATCTTTGACGCCTCAATCAAATCACCCACATTGCAGAATCCCCATATCAACCACTTATAAGTAACCCCAGTTGGCTGAACCCACTCTTTCAACTTGAAAGTCACAAACTTTGCCTCTTCCACAAGCTTATCCTTGCATAGACATTCTACCACCTTGTTCAAAGTCTCCAAATTGTATCCGACTCCAGACCCATTCATCAAATGGAAAAAACCCAAACATTTCTTCAATTCCCTAGCTAAAGCAAGGGTCTTTAAAACGATCCTAAATGTCTTATCATTGACCAAACCAAGTTTCCCCATTTCTTGACAAGTTTCCCAGAAAAGGTCAATGTTTCTGGATTTTCCAATGACATCCAACATTTTGTTGAAGGTGACAGAGTTGTGAGTGAAATGAGGGAGTTTTTGGGTGTAGAGGAAGAAACGATAGATAGGACGCCATGAGTATGGGAAAGTGTTGCAAACTTGAAGGAAGAATTCAGGGTTGAAATAAGGATTGTAAGAAGAGAGAGATGAGTCGAGGCGCGAGTTCGGTGAGTTTTGCTGTTGGTAGAGGATCGTACATACTTTTAGGAGAGTGGATTGGTTGATTGGAGTTATAGAGTTGGCTGGGTTAGATGGGTTGCTGAGTTGATTTTGTGTTGACTCGGTAACTATGAGACGAAGGTGAGGATTGAACAAGGGTTTAAGCAGGATTTTTAATCTTCTTATCAACATTTTTTTCAGTTAAGAAGAATCAGATTTGGGTTGAGTCCTTCCATTCCCCCCCAAAAAAAATAATAAGGAAAAGAAATTTAAATCAAAGTTTTCCTTCGTTTCCATGACTTCTTATTGGTTTAATTCGCAGTTTCTCCACATGATCTCCCCGTACAGGAAACTCAAACAAAAGAACCCTAAAACTCACTAGTTCAACACAACAGTACAGCCACCCGAATAAATCGAATAGACACGCACCGTTGAAACTTGTTTTGGGATGCCAAAACAGAGAGACAGGAAGACGCACACGGCGGCGCAAGAGATGGAGAGCGGTCGATGGAAGACTGACTTTTCGGAGAAAGGGAGGAAATCGGTAGGATTATAGGGAAAGGGGCGCCCAAAAAGGAGAAAGTTTTGGGGGTATTAGGGTTCCGATCGGGGGAATAGGAGGAGGAACAGTTCGGAAAGGAAGTAAGATCAAAGCGCGACATTTTTCGTTATAAAATAGTTGGGTAAACTAAACCATTCACCACTCGATCTTCTCACTCTAGGTTTTCACTAAATCTTAAACATTTTCAATTTAATCATTTAATTTTTAGATTACTCCTATTTTGATCACACTATGATGACGTAAGTTATTTTATTAGTATTTTTTCTTATAATGTGGCATATTTGTGATTATTAATGCCATGTAGAATTATATAAAAAAAAGAATATGATAAACTACAGGTTTAGTACCCTAGCTATCATTTTTGTTTCATTTTAATCATTCAATTATTTTTTTTTTCAAAATCATATCTAATGTTGCATTTTAATTTCATTTTGATAACCTACCGTTAAAAAATTAACAGAATTGTTAATGTGGTATTTTTTTATTTTATTTTTAAATGATGACATGTCATTATCTTATGGTGACAAGTTAACATCATCATTAAATTTTTAACGATGAGTGGCCAAAATGAAACCAAAACTAAACGTTATGTATTATTTAAAAAATAATTGGGTGACCAAAACGGAACAAAAATGATAATTGGAATACTAAATGTGTAGTTTTAAATTTAAAATCCTAAATTAAAATTTAGACTCAAACCTTAACTTTCAAATCATACCACAATTGACAATCCCTAGATCAAACCCTAAACCCCAAATTGCATCCCCGCCCCCACCTTCTTCCTCGAACAAATCCCATGACCACAACTTGGCAAACCCATATTGCAAGGATGCTCTTAGCATGGTTGAGGTTGTGGTTGTCGAAGTAGTAGATGCCACCGTTGGAGAAGATTTGGAAACCAGCCTTGAATCAAACCGTTTCTCTGGACTTGACACCATTCTTTGAAAGAATTTTGGGAAAAACACACTCGAGGGAACTAAGGATTGGTCAAATATGTGGGATTTGGTCTGAGAATAGACTACTTTATGCAGCTAGGGTCGTACCTGTTTCATGTGTCGATATAACGATAAAAACACGGTGACCACCAACGACGATAATAGTTCTACGCTGATCGAATTATTAGACAAACCGTCAATCTTTCAATTAAAATCGATCATACTATTGAATTTCATCAAAAAAATTAATCACACACTTAAATTCGGTTAAAAAATTCAATTCAAATCTTTCAAGTCATTATTCACACGTAATTTGTAATGTCAGCATAATAGATCGTCATATCAGTACAATTAAATTGTCAAGTCAACAAGATATCAATGTTGGTCAAAAAATAATTAAATAATTCCGAAAATAAAATTAACGTCGTTGATTTAAATTTACTTCAAAAATAAGAATCATTTAATTCTAAATTTATAATTTTCAAATGTTTGTAGCGACATCGATAATTTTATCAATATTTTGACACAATTTTAAAACATGATACGTTGACGTAGACTTCAAACTTTATCAAGGGCAATATCTTGCCCGATTAAATGTCCATTATAAAAGAATTAATAAAACAACTCCTTTAAAATTATTGTTCGGTTGAATAACAATTTAAAGATTATTTTAAAAGTGACGTAATTAAAAATAATAATGCAAATTTTTAAAGGGTAAAGTATAGTAATGGTCACTGAAATTTTCTAAAACTTTCATTTAGGTCTTCTAACTTTTAAAACTTACAATATAGTCCTCCAACATTTAGCATGCTTGCAATATGGTCCCCGACGTTACACTTGTCGTTAGTACGTTTGCAATATGGTCACTGAACTTTTCAGGCATTTGCATTTAGGTCCTCCAACTTTAAAAACTTACAACACAGTCCTTTATTTTATTCTAAACCCTAAATTCCTTTTTGATCTTAAATTTCCTTTTTCGCTTCTCTCTTCTCATTTACAGCGTAACTTTTCAGTCGGGGATGCATGGGAAATTCTAATCTAACTTTGAATTATGTGGAGGTGTTGACTTGAATAAGGGTCCATTGAGAGAAGACCCGACCAAGGGACTATTGGGACCATCAACGTTTCAATGTGTAATATTAGATACAGGTTATCTCAGGTGAAGCATAGATGTTCGACGAAATGCTTGTGAGAAAAAAAGGGGGTTAGAAATGCAGAGTTGACAAATACTACTAAGATGAACAAAGTATCATTGTTGAAAGTCACCAACAAAGCTGGAATTATTTTGTATAAATGATATATAATAATTTATTTGTTTAATCTTTTTGGTTAAATATTTTCTAACAAATAATAAAATATAATGAAATTCCAAACAACGCATTCACCTCTTAGTCTCTTTCGCTCACATGCACTCTCGTTTGGTTTTTGTTCTTCAATTTTCCGCATGTAAAATTGTAAACCCAAGTAGTGTTATGTCTTTCAGCTTTTTATTTACAAAGAAAAACTGGAGGAATAATTGATGGAATACAACATCGATTACGTTTATTTCTTAGCCTCTCCCCTCACTTGCAAGAAGGTATTTATTTTCTCTTTTGGACTATCCGGAAGTAAGTTTTTCCTCTTTCTCACTTTCCCATTTTCAGCTCGCATTGTGTGTTTTTTGTTGAAATCTTTATGTTTTTGGAACTACATGTCAATGATCTGGATATTCAGTGTTAGTTTTGAACTAAAACAATCTAATTTTATTTCTTTCTTCTTAATCAAAACTTTTAGTACTCCTTATGAAAGATATTCAGTCCATCAGAATAGAAGTGAAATAGGGTCCTAGGCTAAATTTTTTTAATCTTCTTGTTTGATTTTTCTTTAAATCAGGGAATTGGTTGTGAGTATTGACATAGTGAAATCGCCAGGCTCAATCCGAGAGACTACTAGTACTAGTTTACTGGGAATTGTATTGATCTAACCTGTGATTGTTGGCGTCCTGTGAGCTCGTATTCTTTTTAATAAGTTCATGTTGATTATAGGACTGATATATCGTGAATGAATTAGATTTTTTTTTACATGTTTTGGAAATTTTACAGTTGAATTGTATTGAATTATAGCTTTAGAAGACAATTCTGCATACACGTAACTCGAAATGCATCATGAAAGGGTATTATATTTGGAGTAGCTACTTTACCCTGACATGATGCCTTTTGAGTTACAAAAGAGACTGAGAGGTGAATGCACTATTTGGGATTTCATTATATTTGATCATCTGTTGGAAAATCTTTAACCACAATGAATAAACGAATAAATTATTATATGTCATTTATACAAAATAATTCCAGCTTTGTTGGTGACTTTCAACAATGATACTTAGTTTATCTTAGTAGTATTTGTCAACTCTGCATTTATAACCACATTTTTTCTCACAAACATTTCATCGAACACCTATGCTTCACTTGAGATGACTTGTATCTAACATTACACCTTAAATCGTTGATAGTCCTGATAGTCCCTTTGTCGGGTCTTCTTTCAATGGACTCTTATTCAAGTCAACACCTCCACATAATTCAAAGTTAGATTAGAATTTCCCATGCATTCCCGACTGAAAAGTTACGCTGGAAATGATAAGAGAGAAGCGAAAAAGGAAATTCGAGATCGAAAAGGAATTTGGGGTTTAGAATGAAATTGAGGATTGTGTTGCAAGTTTTAAAAGTTGGGGGACCTAAATGCAAGCGCCTGAAAAGTTCAGTGACCATATTGTAAACGTACTAACGGCAGTGTAACGTCATGGACCATATTGCAATCGGACTAAATGTTGGAGGATTGTATTACATGTTTTAAAAGTTGGGAGACTTAAATGAAAGCTTTAGAAAAGTTCAGTGACCATTATTATACTTTACCCTTTTTAAATGAAACATAGATTTGTGGATTATAATCCCCAAGCAAAATAAGCATTAAAAGAATTTTGCAAAATTCATCCAAATAAATTATTAAAATTTAGGCTAGGTTATAGCCAGCTTTACTAGAGTCATTTCGTACTTTTATCCTAAAATTTATTTATATGTTTCATTTATAAATTGCATTATTTTTTTAATTACGTCACTTTTAAAATAATCTTTAAATTTTGAAATAGATTATATTGTTAATAAAAAAGAAAAAAATATTTATATCGGATCTAGTCGACTTTTTATCCTAAAATTTGGGTCGGGTTTAATTCGCATGAAAAAACACCAAAATGTTGAAACAGATTATATTCGGGTGAAAGCTTTCGATCTTTGAATTAAATTTAAAAAATCAAAATTTAACACAATTTATCTTATTTTTTACTTATTAGTTTAATATTAATAAAAATATTAGTCAAATACAAAACTTGACCTATCAATTTCTAGATTGAAAACTTTATAAACTCTAGTTCTTTTTCAGTAGATAAACCATTGTTGTTTTGAAATTAAATAATTAATTTTAATTGCATCATTGATTTTAATTTTATCTTTATTATCACTTTTAAATTCACGTTTTAAACTGTGACGACGACATTTACTCTCTTCTACAGAAAAAAAAAAGGATTTTTAGGGGTTTTTCACCTCAATCCACAATGCTACCAGAAGAGTAATTGAGAGCGAGTTAAGCGAATGGGTGGAGTGTGGATGTTGAGTCGCTAAAAGGATTGCTCCCAACGCCTTTCATGGACGAAAAAATGATGGTAGCCCCCAAATCGGAGTCCATCAAATGGGGGACCCTAAGACCCTCTTTTTTCTTGCATAAATGGCAAAGATAATGTCGTGCCAAGACCCCACTCTACTCTTTTCAACCAAGCCAAAATGCATTACTTGTTTACATCCACATAATGGCAAAAATAATTTCGTATTTTCGAATAATCATAATGATTCTACAATTAATATATACTAAAATTCTCTATAAATACTCCTCAACATAGTTGTGGGAAAGGTTAACACCTTTTACAACCTGACTTGTTCTCTTCTTTTTACTTATGTCTGATTCACTGTCGTATAAAAATATCAACTAATGATTATTCTCTCGTTAATCGTAATTTTTTATCTAAATTAAAAGGGATAAATTAGGAAAACTCTATTAACAAACTTTGTTTATCAAATTACGCAAACTTCTAGAGGTTAAACCGGCCGAACTAGCAAAATTATGAACCCTTTTTTAAATATAGAACATTGGTAGAAAAAGGTTCTAGAAGCTGAGATAGGTGGTCATCAAATTCCATTTTTCTAGTTATTTTTCAATTGTTTCTTTAATTATTATTTGTCACCTTCACGTACATGATCTGCTCTGTGAATTATTCTCTTCTAGATTGAGGACAAAAATGGCAACTTCATCTTTTTCAATGATTTTTTTCCACAAACTTATTTTAGGATTAATTCTACCATACATCATTAATTTATATTAAAATATTAAATTAGTCCTAAAATTTTAGAATTATTTAATCAAATCCTTAAATCATAAGTGTTATATCATTCTACTAACCTAGTAACGGGTTAAATATATCCCGTATTAAAATTAGTGTTAAATATCAGCTCGAACATAGGTACAAGTTATGCATCTGACCACATTCTCATGTTTGGTTGGCCGGGACTCTCGTTCCCAGTAATGTTTTATTACCAATAGTAGATTTTTTTGGGTATATTACCGGGAATGTCATTACCTCCCTTCCCTTAGGTATTGTAACATTACTGGCGTTTTGAACTAAAATGCCCTTAAATTATTTTTTTTCAAAAATATCCTTCTTCTGTCATTGAATAATAAAAATTCTACGAAGGTTAAATTACAAATTTATCCTTAAATTATTTTAGATTCACAAAAAAAAATATATAATTAAAATTTTATATGAAGTTCAGGGGTTAAAAATTTTTTTATCCTTTTATTAAACCTTTTTTATATTTTTAATTTTGTAAAAAAAATATATAAATATTATGAATTTAATTTTTTTTAAGAAAATATATAAATATTTTACAATTTATAATATTATTCAAATATATAATAAGGACAATTTGGTCAAATATACATTCTAATAATCTTTTATTCCTTTAACCAAACACGATAATCTTACATTCCTGCTAAACCAACCAAACACAAAATACAACATTCCCAGTAATCATATTCCCTTGTAATCTTTTATTCCTACTGGTAATCTTACATTCCGTGAACCAAATGCATCCTAAAGGTTTTGATAATATTCCAAAAGGAAAACCTACTTTTTCTTTTAGTTAAAAACATTATAAAAGCAATAGAGACAAGAAGAAATCATTATGTTGGGAATTCCCCTAATACAAAGGTCTTGGTCATTAGAGATAATGGTGAACATGATATCAATTATGATTGAGATATGTCAACTTATGATGTTTATGATACTTTCACTAACGATTTTAATGGTATAATAATCGGTGAAGAACGTAAAATTTTATATTATGGGATAAATTTATAATATTTTATGAAAAAAAATTTATAAAATTTCTGGATGATGAAAATAGATTATCAATAGAAAATATTTAAAATATATAAAAAATTAAATTTTTTAAGAGGAGCCACTGCCTCCACCCGTTCTTCCTTGGTCCATCTCGATAATAATAATGGATGAACATGTGAAATATGGAAATGGTAAACCTTGTTCTATGACTATTAATAGTAAAGTTGCACTAATGTTATTACTTTTACTTTGGTTGAAAAGTTTGGACTACCTTGTTAGAAGTAGACTGCAATAATTGAATTATAGTGGAGGAAAAGGTTTCAAAGCAGGTATTTAGTATTCACAAACATGTAAAGGGATGGTTAAAGAGGTTCCATTAGTTGAAAGGATGGTTGTTATTAGGGGTGTAAATGAATTGAGTTTGAATAAATAAGGTTATGTTTATGTTTGTTTGTTTGTTTGTTTATTTTTAAAGGTATTCATGTTGGGTTCGTATTCATTTAAACTTTTAATATTGTGTTCATGTTCGTTCATTTCTTTTTGAAGGTGTTCATGTTTATTTATTTAGTGTTCGCGAACGTGTTCGTTTATATATTCACGAACGTGTTTATTTAGTATTCACAAACATGTTTATTTAGTGTTTGTTTACCATTCGTTTATATGTTTAATTTTTAGTTTTACCCTTTCATTTGAAAACTATACGTTACTAGTCCTAAAACTCCTTAAAATTCACAATTTAAATTTTAACTTTTACCGTGTGTTTAATTTAATCTCAACCTTCACTAATATTTAATTATAAAAAAGTAAAAGGAAAAGGATAATCGGATAAACAAACTTGTTCATGAACATAAACGAACGAGTCAATAAGCAAGCTCATAAACGAGCTTGTTTGTGAGCATAAACGAATCGAACATACCTCTATTTGTGTTCGTTCGTTTATTAAATGAACATAATGTTTTTTGTTCGTACTCGTTTATTTAGCTTAACAAACGAGCACAAACCAAGCGACCTCAACGGTTATGGAATTGTTGTTATTCCTAGAGATCTAAGGTTCGAGCACCAGCAACAACAGGGTGTTTGAGCGTTTATTGTCAAATGGTTTAGAGTCTTCAGAACATATACTACCATTTGTAAGCACCCTATATTAATCACACACACAAAATTAAATTGATTAAATGTATAAATTTTAGATTAAAACTGTTATTACATCAGACCACATCATTATCTCTTTTACTTTTAAAATGTAAATATAAATAGAAACAAAATATAATATTAAATAATTTTACCAAACAATAATTAAAATACAAAAACAAAAAATACGAGAATAAAAAAATAGCACATAATTAATTTTCTTTATTTTCTTTATTAATTTGAACTATCTAAACAAAAAAAATACATATATCGTTTCCTTTATTTTATTTTTGTCTTTCCCTTTTCTTTAAAATCTTTTATCCATAGGGTTAATTAATTATAACATTTGCCCTTTGGGTTAGTCTTAAGGTCCCTTGCTTTTAACGGCATAAACGAAGTGACTCTTAATTTTATTTTTAAATGTTTTACTTAAAAAATGTAAAATTAACAACAATATTAACGGTGAAAATATACAAATACGTCAGAATTTATTTAATAAAAAAGCAAAACTTATCAGATTCAAATTGGAGGCTGCTTTGTTTTGATTTTGACAATAAATAAATAAAATAATTATATAAATAATATTTTTATATAATATTTAAACCACTCGATAAGTAAAACTGTTGAAAAGTAAAACTTATCAACAGTTTCGAATAAAAAGTATACAACGCAACGTAAACATGAACAAGATTAATAATTAAACAACGTTGCCTTTTGTCTTTAACTAATAATTCCATCCTTTAATCTTGTGCTTAATGTTAAACATCTAAATATTGATTAGCTTACGTCAAACATCTAAATTTTCAACTTATACCCTGCATGATAAAAAAGAAAAAGAAAATCTCTCTATTATATTTATCTATTAATCGATCTTAATAATAAAAATAATATTATTTTTTAAATATTCCGAATTAGAATAACTGTATTTATAAAGTACGTGCATTGACAAAAAGGATTAATTTTAAAAAATACAAGTCAGGTTAAGGCTAAACTTTAACCCTACTTTTTTTTTCAAATCTGTAATATATTATGTAATATAATTTATACAAAATAAAAAGGATAAAGTACACAAATGGTCCTCTAATTATACGATAAATTTTATTGAGATTATCGATTATTAAAAGTTATAAAATGACTCACTAACTATAGGATGTTGATTTGTTGAGTCTCCGACTATTAGAAGTTACAAAATGGTAACCACTACTCATATGTTTCAAACTCGTCATTTTTCGTTAAAAAAATGACGTTTGTCTAAGTTGGACGTTAACCTGCTGACTAGGATATGATAAAATATAATATCATAATATTAAACGACTATACAATTCAAACGGTTCTGAGATCACATTTTATCATATCCTAGTCATCATCTTAAAGTCCAACTCAAACGATCATCAATTTTTGAATGAAAAATGATGAATTTAGAACATATAAATAATCAACTAACCACTTTGTAACTTTTAATAGTCGAGGGATTCAACAAAGCATTATCATATAGTCAAGAGACCATTAGTGTATTTTACCCAACAAAAATTAACAATGTAATATAAATTTTAAATAATAAATTAAATTATTCATGTTTAAAAGAGTATAAAAATAACTTTAATTGAACATGTATTTAAATTTATTAAACATATTAAAAATAACATAAATATTTAAAAATATATAATTAAATATAAATCAACTATTTATTAATATAAATAATTTAAACAAATTTTATAATTTATATTTTGATTAAATTTAAGTTAAATAAATACAAATTATATTTGTGATGAATAATTGATTCAATCAGTTGAATGAAGACAGCTCATGAATGGTGGTTGTCTTCTAGTCTGACAAATTGGGCATGCTTGGATGGCTTCTAGAAGACTTTACGTGTGGTCGCCGTATAATCGCTTCCTTGTCAATTCTCAAATTTTGTCACATACAAGGAAAGTTTATCAATGTGGGAGAAAAAGAAAAAAGAGTACAACCCAAACCAATTTTATGATTAAGAAAAATATATTTTGCTAAAATATATTCATTTTTTTATTTTAATTAAAAATACAATTATAATATGAAGTTAATACAAATAACAGATACTAATAAAATTTATCATATTATTAATATAGATTTTTTTGCCATATTTTATAAATCAGTTAATATTCTAAATTAATATTTCATACATTCAATTAGAAAATTAGATCTAATTGTATGAAAAATATTTAACTGATGAATAGTTTACTTTTTTATTTAAACATTAATATATTTATTTAAACATTAATATTTTAATATATTTAAACGAATCTAAACCCTAAATTAAAATCAATAATTCTTAAATATTAAATTATAATTACAAATCTTAAACTCTATAATTCTATTATAATCGAACAACTGCTACATCTGATCCCTTTGTTTGCACTTATCCCGTAACTACCGATTAATATATATCCTTTAAGTTGCTTAAGTAGAGTGATACGGACACGTGTCACTCAACCAAACTGCGTTAAGTTTCCGTTATCCAACTGTCTTATATAATAATATAAATAAGCTGCCCGATAGTTGAGTGGTTTTTCAGTATAACAAGAAACCTTCTTTAAGCTTTCAAAAAAATGGAGAATTCCGAGTTTTCAACTGAGTTGCTTCCGGGTTTACCTGAAGAACTCGGTCTCCACTGCTTATCTCGCCTACCTTACACAGCTCATGGACTCGCGTCCCGAGTTTGCCATCGATGGCGGGAATTGCTGCAAAGCCTAGATTACTATTACCACCGCAAAAAACTGGGGTACACCCAGAAAGTCGCGTGCTTGGCTCTAGTCTTCAACGATGGAATCGTTGATGGACCTAAAAAACCAGGTGGATCACCGAGTTATGGGATTGCTGTGTTTGACTCGGTGAGTCAGAGCTGGGATAGACTCGCCCCGGCTCCGAAGTACCTAAACGGGTTGCCTTTGTTTTGTCAATTAACAAGCTGTGAGGGGAAGCTCGTGGTGATGGGCGGGTGGGACCCGGTGAGTTACAATCCGGTTCCTTACGTTTTCATCTACGATTTCATGACTCGGCAATGGAGACAAGGGAAGGATATGCCGGCGAAAAGATCCTTCTTTGCGATCGGAGCATGTTCAGGTCGGGTTTTTATTGCGGGCGGGCACGACGAGAACAAGAACGCGTCGAGAACCGCGTGGGTTTATGATTTGAGAACGGACGAGTGGACTGTGTTGGGGGAGCTGAGTAAAGAGCGAGACGAGTGCGAAGGCGTGGTGATCGGGGAAGACGAGTTCTGGGTGGTGAGTGGGTATAGAACAGAGAGCCAAGGTCAATTCGACGGTAGTGCAGACGTGTACGGGTTAAAGTCGGGTCAATGGAGACGGGTTGAAGGGGTTTGGGAACCCGGTCGGTGCCCGAGATCAAGCGTCGGGATCGGAAAAGATGGGAAACTGTTGAACTGGGCAGAGATCGACCCGGCCGTTCGGGTCGGAGCATGTGGAATCAACCTTGGAGGAGGTCGGGTTTTGGTTACGGGGTCGGAGTATCAAGGCGCACCGTTTGGGTTTTACAATGTGGAAATGAAGGAAGGGCAAAATAGTACATTGAAGAAACTCAATGTGCCTATTGAGTTTTCTGGGTTTGTCCAATCGGGCTGCTATGCAGAAATCTAATGCGGTAGTGTTCAATTTTTGTGTAATTTTGGTTTTGGTCCTCAAGAGATATGTAATTCAATTTTCATTTTGAAAAAGTTGGGTTCCATTTTCAGATAATGTAAAATTTTGAATTTGATGTATTATTATTTTCAGATAATTTCTTTGCTCAATGTATATTTAATTTTCTGATTGTCGGAGGTCTTCCACGGAAGCTGCTCTCAACCTGACGTTGGGCAGCCTACTACCCTATCTCTCCTTATTTTATTGTATATGGGAATAAGGTTTTATTGTTGTTGTTGATTCATTCTTGAAAGGTAGGAAAAATCCTAAGTTTTTTCTTTCCTGTGTGCCGCTCACTTCATTTTTATCTTTGTTTGATCCGTAACGGTATCAATTTTAATGTTAGATATCGATCGATGATATTTTTTATTTTTTAATTATTTTATATTATATATTTATTTCTTTTGTTTTTTTAATTAGTTTGTTTTTATGTCACATTTTTTGTATTTTTTTTGTATTTTTTTCACCTTTTATCTTGTTTTCAATCTTTTTCGAGGTCGTTTGATTATTTTTTGTATTTATCTTTCTTTTTTCTTAATTGAATTTGACGTTATCTCAATATGGTGTTTGTATATGCAGTTACGTTTGTAGATAATTTTTTTGTATTGCTCGACTCTAGTTTACGGTTTGTCAGTAATCTTTTAGTAGTTTGATCTTCTTTTATAGTTCGTTTGTCGATGCAATTAGATTTGTTCGTGTATATTTTTTCAAAATTTTTTATTGAGTTATTAATATTCTCCTTGTACTTTGTTTTTTGATAATACGACAACAACTAGAAATTAACTAAAACTAAGAATATCCTTTTGTAAAATGGCCAATATTTCCACCGGAGGATCCATGAATTCAAATCCACCGATGGAAGCTCCGCGACTCCAAGCAGCCAATCGATCAGCTGCAATGTTTTGATCCCTATGAATATGTCGGAATCTTAACATCCAGTCACAATCCCGACACTCCAAGATAGCAGCTACATGGCACTGCCCGCTAACACCTCTGAATCTTTGTTACAAATACTTGCAACCTCACGATTATCGGTCTCCAAGCATGACTTAAAATGTCATGAATCGCCCAAAGTATGGCCACGAGAACTGAGCATCTCCCCATGCTCCAAGTAAATTCAAATATCCAAGTACCCTCAGCATTTCGCAACAGACCACTAGCTGAGGCCATCCTATCGTTTGATTTCACTGCGCCATCCGAATTAGCCTTAATCCAACCGATAGGGGCCGTAACCACACCAAAGAATTAGCACCCAAGTCCTGATTATTGTATTTAATTTACAATTATAATCGTAAATCTTCATATAAACTAAAGTGATTAAATGTTATGATCTTTGAATTCAGTGTAGAAAAATGTACAAAACTTAAATAAAAGTGATCATTCATACAATTTGTCCTTAATTAAGTAATGTCACTCGACCAATATATAAATGAAAATGATCAATCATGTAAATTACTCTTAATTATGTGATCAGTATTTATAATTTACCCTAAAATAAATATATGAATTATGTGAACTTAACCCATGAAAATACTATGAACTTGATTAAACACCTCTAATTAATTTTATGATATGAAATTGATTAATTAATTTGAAAACGATATAAATATTTAGAGTTTTGCAGACTAAAAATCAAATAATGCTCGACAACACTCTTCAAATAAGAAGAAATAAAAAGAAAAATCTAAAATTGATATTTATCGAAACAATGAAGACAATGAATGTGCATTTTAATACAGAGTGATGATCTGACACTCCAATTCAAGCATCAGGGCCTGAATAAACATACATATTACATGAATTCAAATGTTTATTCAAAACAAGTAATAACATATCATCATCTGGGAAGGCAAATCTAGATGAAGGACTCCCACCCGCGACGAAATCAACAGACACCGGTCTTCTTGCGGTCGACGAGCCGTTTCCAGTACCTGAAGATCTCTTCCTGAGTCTCCCTCTCCGTTTTCTTATGCGGAATGCTGCGACCGGGCAGGGCATCCATCTCCTTTAGGACCAGCTGGATGTGTTCTACAAGTCTTTTCGCCAGGCCGTGGCTGAAATCCTCGCGGATCACCGCACGTAGCACCGCGATGTGTTGCGCATCCGCGGGCATCGTATAAGCCGGGAGGATCCATCCGAACCTCCTCAGGTTCTCGGCTAACTCAAAAACCGTATGTTTGCTGCCTTGTTTTAGACTAAACGCCACCAGAGGCACCCCTACGTCCTTAGACACAATGTTGAACCGCCCGGTGTTCTCTATTCCTAGTTTAAGCACTTTCATATTCACCATGCAGTTCTCAATTATGTTCTTGTAACCCTATTAATCATTATATACCATCAACAATTTCATTCATGTACATATAATTATGAAGACGAACACAAAATTTTATATCAGAGACGAACTTATTGGAAATTACCTCAAAACCGAGGCGTAGAAACTGGTAATACTGAGCAATAATTTGACTAGAGCCTGAGATAACATCATTATGGGAAAATTATCATCTGTGTAAGCCAAAAGATATGAAGAAATGTATGAAATTAATGTGTTAATTACCTTTGGAGAAATTGAGGGTGAAAGTTGGTTGATCAGATCCTAGGTAGTTAATGTGAAAGACAAGATCATCAGGTAAATCCTCTTTGTTCCTCCATACAATCCAACCAACACCAGCATATACGAGCCCGTATTTGTGGCCACTAACATTGATGCTTTTAACCAATGGTAGTCGAAAGTCCCATTCGAGATCCGGGTAAAGGAACGGAGCGATGAATCCTCCGCTAGCCGCGTCGACGTGGATCGGGGTGTTCCAACCGGTCTCCTCGTTTTTCTTCATGAGGAGGTCGTTTAACGTCTTCACGTCCTCAAACTCTCCGGTCAGTGTCGATCCGAGAATGGCTGCTACACATATGGTGTTCTCATCCACTAGTTCCACGGCTAGTACCGGGTCCATAATGTAGTATCCTTCTTTCAACTTCACTTCCTTCAGCTCTACCTCAAAATACCTAGCAAACTTCTCCCAGCAAACCTGTTGCATACAATTTCATTAGTGTTGTTTCATGTTCGACATATATTCGGACCATGTCGAACATGTCTCACCTGTACATTAGCTCCCGTGACTATGTTGGGTTTCTCAGTCGATTTTCCCTCCGTCCTCATCTTATGTTGCCACCTCCTTTTAAAAGCCAATCCGGCCAGCATTATAGCCTCGGAGGAACCAACAGTCCCCACACCTACGGCCGTCTCTTCCTCCCCAACCGGAGCATGGAACAGGTTCGCAATCATGTTGACACATCGATTCTACATAACCGATACGATCACTATTAATCAAAGAATACCGAACATAGTATACGGATCATAATGAAAAGCGAAGAAATTAATGATACTTGGAGTTCAGTGGTGACAGGGTATTCATCCATGTCAACATAGTTCTTATTGATGGCAGCCATCATAAGCTTATCACACTCGGGTTCCATCCATGTCGTAACGAACGAAGCCAAGTTCAACCTCGGGTTTCCGTCGAGCATAAGCTCGTCGTGTATCACTTGGTACGCCGCGTCCTTCGGCATCGACCTTTCTGGCATACGGAACCTGGGAACAGGGCTGCGTGTGTATCTAGAAGCAAATGTGGAGTGCACATGCTCGTCTGTAGGGACTGTAGCTGCCAACATTGTTTTTCTTTTTTGTTCTTCAGTGGAGAGCTGAGTGTGTCGGAAAATAGGTATATTAGAGTGTTTATATAGGGGGAGATAAGATGAGGTTGGAGAGAAATGGGAAACCGATCCATGATTCACTCAAATAATCCGTTTGATTCGAAGAAATTATAGGATACCAGTAGAGATGGAGCCACATTTTTACCTGTTCTTCCTCGCCATCTTCTAAAACTACTTACGCATATCTGCGCAATCTTTTACTTTGGCATCTCATTGTGGCATATCATCATACACCTTGTATGCTAATTTTTGGTATAAAAATCATATATTTATTTAAAGTGTTATTTAGTTACGTATTCGATAATAAATGAGTTATATTTTAAAAAATTATAATTTAATCATTCAATTAGAAATTTATTATAAACAAGTTATTGATGTTCAATATTAGACAAAATAATATTGTGACTTGTTATAATAATAATTTGCCTCGTAAACTTATATAATTTTTTATTTTGATCTTAATTCTAAATAATTAAATAAATTTAATTCTACCTATTTAATTTTTATTCTCTAACATCGTCTGTTCATCTCCCAGAATGTCATATTAATTTTTTTTGAATAATCTAAGATAATTACAGTACAGTATACGTTCATAATTTTCTTAACCAATTAACAAATCACACACACCCTGCAGACATAACTGTTTAAACCCAATACCTCTAACAATAATAATATTCCCTTTTACCGCTAATAAAGTCACTTTGATGGATTTATATCACTTTAATCTTCTAATAGTACATTAATCGTTAATATATGTGTGTGTGTAAAATCGACCTTTAGATCATGCCAATCATGCTTAAAATCGTTACAAAATGATGATTAAATTTGAATCGAATAATAATGAATAACCCTAAATAATGGCATAATCCATACTGCACTGCAGAGCAAATTTCACAGATGTGTTATTATCATGTAAAAGACTCCCTCTTCAAAGCTCAATCATCAATCTACAGAAATGATTTCATGTTCTTAAACAAGTAAAAGATCAAACGCTGTTGCTGTTCAATGTTTTCATTGTAAGGCAGTCAGATTAGGAATCATAACTGCTTTTACTCTCTTCAGCATGTAAAACCTGTGTTCCCAGATACTCAAAAGTACCCTTTTAGATATGGCTTCAGTTAGAGTGACTTTAAAATCCTTTGCTGTCCCGAATTCGCAGCAGAGTGTAACCAAACAGCATAAGTCGAATCCGGTATATTCAATTACATTTAGTATGATCGATGCAGTCTTCTAGAAAAATAACATGTACCAAAGGTTTCACTGACCTTAAACATGAACTGCGTTCCACACGCTATGTAATCCGGGAGGTGGAATGGTAGAACCTCATGAGGAAACTCGAGAGTGACCAAATGCAGATTACCCCAAGGCACTGGAGGACATTCAAAAGTGTTCCCAAAGAGCTGTTTATTGCCAAGTTGTATGTGGTCATTTCAGCACCTCTCACTGTGTATGACAGGGCTGTCACTAGTTGAGCAGCTCTATTCAGTTGATGCAATCTGTAAACCTGTTGAAGTATAAAAGAAATCGGTTATGACGAATAACAACAAAAAAATATTTATAAGGACAAGAACTCCTCCCCGGTTAACAACAATACTCAGAGAAAGGGGGTCGCAAATTAAGTCAGAACCGTCCTTACTTGAAAGATTATCGGGATGACAGGCCATGAAGGTGAATTATGATGTCTTGCATACTGCTCAAAGGCAAACTGTACAACAATACCAACCAGGTAAGGAGCTAGAGTAGCAGATGCAGCGGGACCAGTCCAGGGCCATACTAGACCCATCGTTACCATGGGAATGATGAGACTAAGCACAAGAGTAGCAACAGAAGAGATACGTTGACCCAAGTGAGGGGCCAAGGTTTCTGCTGCAGAATCTGGCCCAGTAGTCCTCCTTTGACGATCAATTAGCAGAAGAAAAACAGCAACGCCGCAATAGAAAAGTGCTTCCGTGAAGAACAATATGAGAAAATCTGTAGCAGAGAAGAGCAGGCTATTTAGAGAAGGATTAAATTTCTCTGTACAAGAGGAAAACGAGGAGAACCAGTATTCAAGTTTAACATATCATATACATGTAGAAACTACCATAACATCAAGTTTAATAATTGAATGCACTCTCTTCTGAATATAGGATTTCTATTTTCTTAAAGTTTTGTTTATTTTCAATTCTTTTACTTTGTCCACGATCTGTCTGATGTCAGCTTCATATATCAAATCGTGCTCCAATTAACAGATAAATTTTCAGGTTAGAATCACTTTTATAAACACAAAGATATACATACACCAAGAGGAGAGAGGGGAAGGTGGGGAAGGGAATCAAAAGCCCTCTATCCCCTGAAAAACCTTGAATATAATCGCATGCCTCATTTTGTCCATTTGGCTGCTTAAGTGGCTTAGTGTCAAATGCAAGCCCAGAGTAAGAGAAGGTGCACGAAAATAAAAGTAAAAACAAAAGAGGAAGTCTCCATACATGGCATTGCACTCACCTGTTAGTAAGGAGTCCTCAAATATGGTTAAAAGTACTTTACGCAAATAAAGTGAGGGTAAAATAAAAGAGGCCACAAGAACTGCTGGACCAATAAACCATAACAAGCTGTTCTGATTCCTCTGCACATTAGAAATGACTTCATCGTCTCTTTTGTATGCGCGATTATAAAACGAAATAAAACCTGGTCTTCCATCACTTCCCTCAAAATGAATAGATGGTAAGCCAACCGGGATTATCTCTTCAGGATCAGGATCGTCTTGTAGTAGTTCTGAGTCAACAGGTTTGATCTCAGTGTACTGAGATTGGTCCTTGAAAGTTGAGAAAAGTACATTTTGTCTCCTTCGAAACCCCTTCAACTTAAGCACTACAAGAAGTGAAATTAAGTAAGAACTTATTACAGGAGCTAATTTTCAAAACCATTGCTAATACGACCTGATTACATTGCCATTCTAGAATTTAAAATGGGAGATAATCTGAAACTACAGCTATAGTCAACTAAAATATAGGGGCCAAATACATTCGGATTTGGGGCAATTTACAAGATAAAAGAAAGAATTTCAAAGGCATCGAAAATAGTTAAATCCCACACCTTGAGACAAAATTTGAGAGACGAATTTGTTATGCAATTAGTTACAGAAACTACCTTTAGTATTTCTGGGCTGCTCAGTCCTCTCTCGCTGGTCATTATAAGGTCTTCCAAACAAGCTTACCTGGATAGCAAAACACGAGATATCAGAAAAGGAAAACAACAATGGGCTTTTTAACTAAGAACCCTAAAATGGAATTGCAGCACGTGGAATTTAACTAAATAACTTGAAAAAAATAGCTTAATTACTTGCAATAGAAAGCCTCAAGACAGAATAATGCAAGCATACCTTGAGCTAATGGTATTCAAAATTTACAATTCAAGCAGATTTTACATCAGCAATTAAACAAAAAATCATTTCTTTTTTCCATTTTCAAGGCTAAAAATAAGTTCAAGATTTTCCAGGTCAGAATGTCTACTGATATGCAACACAAACACTACAAATCACACATACTAAATACTTGGCTATATACGCATTGTTAAACATGGAAAAAATGAAGAAAATAACATACCCGGGACTGAAATGAAGAAGAAAGGGGCGAGGCGACATGAGAGATTGGAGCATAACAGCTAAAAGCCATAAACAAATACGTATGTACTTTGTATATTCGTAGAGGAAAGGCTATGGGTAGGAGAGAGTCAAGCACGAGCAGCGCATGTTGATGGATTCTGAGGAATACCCAAATTAATGGAAGAGAATTTAAGCAGACCCATGGCGATACCAAATGAACTGGAGATAATCAAGTAATGTAATCAATAGGATTGTGTTTGGAAGTTTGAGGTAGTGAAGGGAAATACTAATAAGCGACCGAGATTGGCTTTTCTTCTTCCTTTGCTATTTTTTTTTCTTATTTCTTCTTATTTAAAGAGTAAGGTATTTTTTATAGAATTGAGATTAAAATATTTATTTAATCACCCACTTATTTTTGTGAATTTATTTAGTCACTCATTTTTTTTTAAATCATAAGATAATATCACATCATTATTAAAAAAAATTATCACACTAATAATTTTATTTATTTTTTAAAAACAAATAATAAAAATATAACAAAAACATAATATTAAATATGATTTTTACAAAAATGATTGAATGATCAAAACAAAATAATAAGAATAGATAAATAATTAAATACATAATTTATCCTATTATTAAATATTTAAACCTAATTTCATAATCACTTATTAAATAAAACATTCCATTAATCTTATTTTCCCTCGTTCAACACCACTCAACTGTCGTTAGAATATTTTTCAATAACTTTAAATAATAATAAAATAATATCTGTTTAGAAATCTTCTTAAACATATTGACAATGCACATACACCTTACAAATATAATTGTTCGAATAGTTATCTAGAAAGAACAATATTCTCCAATTATAACTGAGAGAGTCTTTAATACAGTCTGCCATAATCTTATTAGATTACAGGCTGATCTTAATGTTGATGAACCAAATACCATAATCCTATATCAAAATCTCAGATTTCGTGCTGTGATTTCAATTAACAGGAACCATCGGCCCATTAGTGTATATACATAATATGTAGATGGCAAACAAATGGAACTGCTAACATGCTTCAGTAACTTTGGGGTACATTCTCCTCTAAAAGTTGTATGAATGTAACGTAATTGCCTCATTGTCTAAAGATGATTGGTACAGTTTCTTCTGTGAAGTATTCCTTCCTCACAGTTTCCACTGAGCAGAATTTCACCTTCAAGCACCATATTAAATATCTCAACAAATGACATCAAAGCAAGAAAGAATATATTACATAATTTTCAAGCTTCATTGATTAGTCAATTAACGTGGCATTGATAGTCTTATATCTGAAAATTGTAGAAAAGTAAACATAAATGCACAAACAAACACGGTCCAACCGGAAAAAGCAATTGCTTCTGCTTCTATAAAATGCCCTGAATTTGATGAGTAGAAAGATGTACATGCAAATAAAGGTTGGATGCATTCGAATATCAGAATCGAAGTTCATCGAGTTTAAGCAGCTATTTGGTGATAAAAGACTGTATGCTCCCAACGAAAAGAAATGATATCCATACAAGTAACTGCATGTTCCATTAATCATATTCATGCTTATCTAAATTTCGCTCCACATTGGCCAACCGATAAGAAAATGTAAACAAGAATATGTTGGTAATAGAGTTAATAGTGTACGGCATGAAAGTGCTTTTGAAACTAAAGAATATTAACTTTAACAATAATAAGCTTTCCAGAAACAAGTTCATAATTATGCGTACCATGGAAGCGTATGATTTTAACAAGGGCTTTGTTATCTGCCAAACTGGCTGAAATATAAAAGGAGCTTCCACAAAGAGAACTTCGCCCAACCGCTTTGGATAGTAATAATAGAATACGTCAAACTGCCAAAAAGAGGAAAATTTGTACATTGATCATAAGTGATATTAATTAATCTAACAACATAAAGACTTTTCACAACCTTAGTATCTAATAAAATACGACAGGTTATCACAGCCTCTTTCTCTAAATAATATATATTTGTGTGTGTGTACATCCCATGCTACCTCCATTGTAAGAAACTTAGAAGTTAACACAAATGCTCTCCTTTTTCTTTTCCTTTTGCCAGCCCAACACATTTATTAATAGCTTAATGTTGATATATTGGTATCGATACATGATATGATTTATGTTCCAAAAATATTCTGCAAATAATATGTATATTACCAAGAAAGTTAAAAAACCGAGATTTGCATTTTCAGTGCCAAAGCCTCGGAGGTCAACTATTCCAAGTATTTGTTCTTTCCCAGGTGGAAGCTTGCTCAATGCCTTCTCAATCAAGAATACACACAATTTCTCATCCTCGTGAGAGTCGTGCACCTGTGAGCAATAAAATAATGACTTCTGTTGGAAGCTTAATCATCTTAGAAGCACATTTAAAGTATAAGGGCAATCAAAATTAAACTCTATTTTGGCTTATATTATAAGAACATGATCCTTAGAAAAATAAAAGGATCCAGTCTATTCAAATACCTAGAAAGCAAGGTGGTTATACTTAAGGAGGATAGATGAGCTGTGTCCAGACACCAAGAATTTGCCAAAGAAAAAGGAATCCGATTCATGAAGCAGAGATACATGTCTTGCCTCTCATTTAGACTCCAATTCAATAGCACAGTTAATTAGCATATCGGTCATTTGAAGAATGGTCTCGTATCCGGTGGAACGGAGTAAATAGAGCATAGCTGTTGTGAAACAACATAATCAGGGCGAAACATCCTAGTTCCTACTTGCTACATTTGGAAATCGTTTATATTACGTCAGCAAAAATTTTCTTTCTCTTTTATCCAGAGATACACCCAGATAATCTTTTAAAGGAATCCCGCTAGAAGTTATCAAGCAAGAAAAGTATCCTTCAATGCAAAAAGTCTGAACAGACGTACATGAACACAGGCTGTGATCTTCAAAACTTACTGCAGGGAGGTGCTTAGATGCCACGACAATGAGCACTGGTCTGTCATTAACGTCAAGAAAGTCATGCACATAGCCTTTTCCAGTCGCGGCTATATTTTTCACATCATCTTCAGACAGATCAGAAACTCCAAATTCTTGACGCCATCTCTAGAAAAAAAATGCTTTAAGGGCAACAGGATAAGAGTTTCAGGTAAAGAATCAAATTACAATCTTCTAAATTTTCTTCATTTTGTGCAAGAAAACTTGCAATTGAGAAATGTGATTCACCAGTCGATACAAAAGAAAACTAAAGAAACTGATAAGTTTGTTCTTTTTCGGGAAAAGAATGCACAGGCAGTGTTGATTAAAATCAGCTTCCATTAAGGTATCATTTAAATGCACATAGTGAAAGCTCTTGTGCTACAAAATATGAACGCAAAGGTAAAGGATACAATAGCTTTTGTTAACTTAGAGACCGCTTCTTCAACAGAAAATCTCCGATCCTTAAGAAACCATAGTATCATGTCTTCGTCATCTCTTCCATTCTTTCCAACCGCCAGACTACAATGCTCCTTTTCAAGCTTCTCCTTAACTTCCAAAACTAACTGTAAGGTTTATGCCAAGAATTCTCAGGATCAACAGACAGTTGATTATCCATTTCGGTAAATACATAAACAAGCTACTTTGATGGTTACGTTTATTACTTACAAAGCATGTTTAGTTCTTTTTGCCTTAATTTCCAGCATAGATGAAACCAAATTTCATTCTCAAAAAGCAAAAAAACTGAAATGAATCTAGTAAACATTCAATTAAACAAAAAGGACAGTCAAAATCAAGTGAAATTCATCAAAATGATCGAATTTCCTCATCACGAGACTAAAAAATAAACTAATAATCCAAAGTAATCCTGCACAAGTATCCAAAATGGGAAACTTTATACGATTCCAGTTTCCAACATTTTCTTGTCTTTTTAATGAGATTTCACAGAATCCAAATAAAACCCAGTGGCAATGAGACGTATTAAGAGAAATGAAGTACGAAGTTGGTACCTTCCGTGAGCTGTTTGGATCTATCATAGAGTTTTGAACGGAGAGTTTGCAGTTTCGTGGGCGTTGAAGGGTGGACATAGATGAAAAAAACAAGGGAGGTCGACACGCACGAAGAGCTTGACACGTATGGATCGTCATTTCCGCTGAATTCACAGCTTTTTCCCCCTCAGCTCAGCCCTCAAAAATTCGTGGTAAGCGAGGCGTAAGGACAGTGGGGTGTTTTTTTCCGGGGAAAATCGGTGGCAGAAAATGTGGATTGATCTGGAAAGTGATATATTTGGGCGGTAGAAGCCGGAAATTGTTACTTGCCACACTCTTCCATAAGATAATGTCTGTATTTATTATTATTATCTTTTTTAAAATAAATTATAATCTTAAATTAATATTTTTTCAATAATTATAAAAAATATATTAATTATAATTATAAAATTTCATTATATTTAGAATATTTTCTTCTTTTAATAAAAATATAGACTTCTATAAATAAATAAATAAATAATTTTCCCCTCATTGTTAGGTATAAAAGATTAAAATATCTAGCACGAACCCTTATAATATCGAAGGTAAAAAAATTGTTAATATTTCTTGAGATCTCGCGTTTGAGCACAAGTAATGCTAAGGGTACGAGCGTTCAATATCAAATAGTTAAGAATTATTTTTGAACAAATACTATCATATATTTACCCTAAATTAATAAAAAAAATTAAAATAATAAATTTTAGTCTAATTTCATTATATAAGATCAAATTTATTTTAAACGGATCTGAATATCGATTTACTCCGAGATAATTACAAATTTTTTCACAAGACGGATTAATCTATATATGATTATGAAAGCATTGATTGTTGGATACGTTCCTGAGGCTGCACATGCCCTAGATGTACTATAATTTTGGGTTTCTTTTAGTTCCTCAAGGATTTTACCTCACTTTATAACTCAAAAATAATTTTTTATAAATTGTTGTTGAAAAAACTTTATTTTTTTATTATCACCTAGTTTTATTTACCATATAAGATCAAATCGGATCTAAATTTATAAAAATATAGACTTAGAGGTTATTTGTTTGTCTCTTAATGGATCTATTCAATGTTGAATGCTGAACCGTTCAGCATTTAACGAGCTTGTTTAGCACCTCTAAATGATTCAATGTTAATTGATTCAGCAAAACAGTGTTGAATGATTCAGCACAGAAATACATTCTGAATGATTCAGAGCCATTATTAAACAACATGTCACATTTATAACTAATTCATACAGAGTCTCAGAATCATTCAACGCTTAATCATTCTGAAATAAACAAACAACCCCTTAAATTTGTGTATTGCCTGCATTCTCTCAATTCTACTTAAGGATAAATGTTTGTAATTGCTTCAATGTACTAATCTTGAAGCACATCAAATGGATGTAAAATCGATCTTTCTGACGAGAAAATTATATTCATCGATCGAGAGATTATAAAGTTCAAAGAAAACAATACAGGGTATAAGGTAAGTAAGCTCAAAAAATTTATTTAGAAACTTAAACTAAACGTTTACGTATTCATACAATTGTTTACACTCACACTCAATCGCATGGACAGAACATTAGGTTTTCAAAATAATATACAGATTTTATTATACCTTGTATTGGACTAACCAAAGGACCAATCATTTTATATTGCGACAACAAAGGAAGATGCTTGAATGGTTACCGTGCCTTGAATGCCAACTGCAGCACAAGCTAGTAAGATGTTAAATATCAGCTGTAACGTTAAAATCGGTGAAGAACGACGGTACATCTGATGCCCCGTAGCAGCCGTTGTTTAACTTCATTTCTTTGCCTGCCATATTTTCCAGCAGAAATGTTCTTATCATATAGTTTCATGTAGATAACATACAACATACAAAGGTCATCATGTGTACAACCGCTTAGCAAACTGATCCTACAGATGCCTTAATCTACACATTTCATGAACTAGCGCCTATTTTAAAGAAGGTAAGAGTGCTCGGGATTTAAAGTCGTTCTACTCATAATGTGGTCCCTAAACATATAAAATATTTTGGGTTACCGTCTGCAAAATGTGAAAAACAGGCAGGCAATACGGAAGTTAGGAGATGATACCTCAAGCAGAGGGGACCGACAATTAAAGATCTGATTTGGCTTCCTGGTCTGTCTACTGAAGCTTCCATCATAAATTTTGTTTTCATTTGTCTTTGCTGAAGATTTACGTCTGCGGTTCACTTCCTCGACTGGCTTGTTTACTTCTTGAAGTGGCATGTAATGCTCATTTTCCTTGGTAGAAGATTCGCTTCTATCAGTTGAAACTGACAAAGCTGGACCAGACATAGAGATTGCAGAAGAGCCCTGATGAAAACTTGTGGATTGGGGCTGCAATCCTGATGAATCAGAAATTATGGAAGAATTTTATTAAAAACAATGAAACTAATATTGGGGAACCACATGGGAAGAATTTTGATTTTTTTTCCTCTTGAATTACTAGCAATGGCAGAAATTTTCAACAATAAAAAATATCTATCTGCTTGAATTGAGGAGTGTCAAATTTAAACACCCAACATGCAGGGTTAATAGTACAACAAAATCATACCAACTGCTGCTGCTTCTTGAAACTTTTCTCTCATGATTCTGACAAATTTGAACAAGCCATTTGTTCTGTTCAACTCATTAATCAATTCTTTGATTCCATTCAAGGGTGGATCACAATCCAACACTTAAGATCACAATAAGAAATGAAAATAATATGTTAGAGTAACACCAACTCAGAATACATATAGCTAATACAAAAGGAGGGCATTACTTACAGGAGTAGGCATCATCTGCATGTCGAATGGTAAAAGAATATTCTTGCTTTGGATTTTCCATATTCATATAATTGAATGTGAACTTCACCCCTAGAAAAAGAGAAAAGCAAGTGAGAATTTAACAACAGAGGAATTAAACGAATTCTAAATCTCATGCAATAAAACTACCTCGCTTACCATGACCACTTTCAATCTTAAAACCAAGAACCTTGTTGTACCATGATATGGCTTCATGTATTTCTCCATTTTCTTCATTTGCATGTTTCACCTTCTCTTCAATTTTTGCCAAAGCTGTGGGCAACACCATACAGAGAACAAGGAAGCATGAAATAATTAGTAGCTTAGGAGAGCAATGGCACTGCGGAGTTATGGTAATAATTAAAATATATATATAAGAAATAGGTTAAAAGGAAAACATCATAAATACCCATAGCAGAAAACTAGAAAATTACATATATTCCAGAAAATTATATCACAACCAATAGTTTACTTGTTACTCACTGCTCTCAGCGGAGCAGGTTAATTGGAATATCTAAGGAGCATTGTAATCCAAAATAACTGCATAAGCCGAGCTCCTCATACCACAACTATTTCTTGCTACTCAGGTTGTACAGGCTCAAAATACCAATACTTGCATAAGAAAATCAGAGGCAAATGAATAAAGACAGTAAAAGGGGGAAAGGGGAGGGAAGAAGGCTCATCAAGGAATGGAGACATAGTACTATGATTGTGATGCCAATATTTCCATAGCAGCCTAAATACCATGTGTTCACCAAGAAGACAATGCATGAAATGCGTTATCCATTATATGACAACTGTCCTCAGTGGTATCCTCAGGGACCGGCACAAGATTTTATATCAGGGGTGCTAATTTAAGAAATTATACTAGAAATTCAAGGAGTGCGAAATTATAAAATTTCGGGGTACAAAATTAGATCATCGATAGAAAATAAAAAAAATATCTAAACTATATTGAGATTTGAAATTTTCAAGGGATGCGACCGCACCATAACACACCACTTGGTCCATCCCGAATATCCTCAAAGCTCTAGTCCCACATAACGACCAAAAAGAACAATAATGACAGTGTGCATCAAGAAACCTCTATTATTAGAATGTAAAATGTAAAACTATAAGATGTTAAACATAAATATGAACCCCAATTGTGCAATGTGTGAACCGTAAACATTAAGCCATCGTACAGGAGTACACAATTACCTAGAGATTCTTGAGATATAATTGATCCATACTCATCTCTCCTTGCTCTTTGTACTTGGACGCTTCTTTTAAGTTTTTCTACTCTAGCTTTTATAGCAGAAATTGAGTCCCTCGTATCCATCTGCTTTGCCTCTTTATGTGTCTTTGCTACACAAACATATTATAAAAACATTCATAAATCACTTAACAACCGCCATAAATTCTGCTTTCCAATTTCAAATTCATAAAAATATAGGTGTAATGTCAAACCCGGCAAAATCAAAAGCTCAAAAAAAAAAAAGCAAAGCACTACCTGCTAAAACTTTGACAAGCTCATTCTCAGCTTCTCTCAAATTAGCTTTCATCTTTGCGAGTTTAGCTGTTACAGTGCATAAAAAGAAAATCCTCAAATTCACGATCTATCTATATTCACTCGAGTTATAGTATTAGAGAGAGAAAGCATAAAGGTGAAAGAAGTTGGGTTACTAACCGTGATTTTGGGCGGTGTCCAGTGCCAGGGCTTTGATGAAATTAAGAGAAGTAGGAAACGATGCAGCAAAAGAATCTATGATCTGTTGTTGGACACGGATCTCTCCGTCGCAGATCGAGCTCAGGTACTCCATTTTTGCCTTCGGATGTTCCTCAGTTTCGTTCCCCGTTTGTAAGAGGGCTTTGATTTGAATGAAAAAAGGAGATTGATTTTAGATTTTAGCCCGCCATTTTATTCTCTCATCATTTTCATACCGTCATCTTTAGTTCTTTTCTAATTAAAAAAATGGGTAAAGTACACTGGTGTTCCCCTTTGTTTTCATTATGTCTTATTTTGGTCACTTATTTTGAAAATTTTACTTTCTGAACATTTTTATTTTTGATCTATCTTATTTTAGTCACTGAATTTGCTGACGTGTCACGTTAGTAAAAACGTTAAAATTTTAAATATAATATTAATTTGATCCTAAATTTTAAATAAAAATCAATTATCGGCTCCCTTTAATGGAATCTTTCAAGTAGCCCATGCAATCTCTTTCTGTTTATGTAATCAATATTGGATGTGCTATATTTGCAGCAGAAATGGTTTCAACCCTTGGAACAAGTGCCTAAAATAATATATGGTAAATTATACTTCAAAACTTCTACTTTAACCACGAAAACAAAGAATACAAGCTTAGTACCATATGTTTATGGAGAAAAATGATCTATTACTTCATTTGCTGCCCAATTTACAAAAGAATTCTGCCTGTCCCCGTTCCTATCTGTTGTGCCTAACAGATGTGTGTTCGATGTCATGATCGGATCCTAGACAATCTTTCTACAAAAGTATCGTAATTTCGGTCTCGATCCAACATGCTTATCCGGACATATTTGGGGCTAACCCCAAAGTGTGTGCCGCTCCGAGTCAAAATCTTCTTCCCTCGAAAGAAGCTTTCGCAGTCTTCGATCTCTCCTTCGCACTTCACCCATGCAAAAGCTGCAAGAACAAAGCCGACGTAAGTCTGGTCCGGGAATTCGATGCACATAAGTATATTTTCGCCTTTGTCTTACCGGGTTGTGGCTCGAAGACCACATTGAGAAAGTTGCAGAGCCGTGGGGGGAAATCAGGCACACTAAATAGGCCACTCTCATGCACTGCCTCTCTCAATTGCTTCCACCTCTTGGCCATAACATGGTAGCTGAACTCGAAGAACGAATTGGCTGCATTCATTCTTTCACTGTTGTCGGATATAACTTTCAAAACCTTGGCCGCTCTAAGCTGTGAATCCTTCGACACACCAATCGTGTTGATCTCTATGTACTTTGTCATTTTTCTTGCAACATCTTCATCTTTAACAAGAGCCCACCTGGAAAATGTCAAAAAGTTAGACGAGATAGATATCCTATGGTACATTCGAGGAATTTTGATTAAAACGATAAAAGTTACCCGATGCGCATCCCGGCATGACCGGTGCTCTTCGAGACGGTGAATAGCATCAAATCATAGTTCGCAGCGGCAGATATGGGCGTGTATTGTGGCCAATAATAGGCGAGATCATGAATTATTATTCCCTCGCTACCGTTAACAACCGAGCGCCTCGCGAATCCATCGGGATTGTTCGGGGAGGTAACGAGTTCGATGTAAGGCCCGGTTTTACTAAAGCTCCGGGCATCGCCTCCCCACTTATAAAGCCCGGACTTCACGCAATCGGTAATCAAGGGATACGACTGCAAGTAATCAACACAACTGACGTCAACTTGACACATTGAATATGAATCAAGTCATTCAACCAAGTTAACATCATATGTACCCTAACACTTACAGAGTAATAAGGGGCTGCTGAAACCACACTGATGGGCTCGGCATCTGTGTCGGGGGACAGTGCGTAGAGCGCAGCTTGATAGAGTTGTGTCGATCCTGTCCCGACAATGATGTGTCGATTCTCTGTCACCGCATTGCCGACGACGTTATGTAATCGGACAATTTGGTTGGCAAATTCAGGCTCTAAGAACCAGCAAAGTTTGGTGGCATCCGAAAAGTAGCTCATGAATTGCCATCCGGGAATAACCACGGTGGTCTCCTCCCCCATCTTTTGCCAATAGCTTTCGTACATTGTCGGATCGCCACTGCAGTAAAAAAATATGGACATCATTTATGCAATGCCAAATAACCCCAGTAAATATACACAGTACATGCAGGGTAAAAACAGGTAAAGTAAGAAAAACGATGGTAAAACTGGAAAAAAGAATCTGCCATTGCAATGGTGGGTCCATGTCATCAGCAGATCAATGATTACATATGTATGGATAGGTCACATCAGATGGACACATCATGAATCATGTTGCTACGTGGCAGAGATGAAGACCAAGAGATGGGTTCATTATTGGACCACCAAAACGACACAGACAAAGGTGTTAGATTTCAGACAACCCCACTTTCGCATTTCGGTTCTGCCACCAGCAAAAACCCAAGGAAAAAAAAAGAGGTTCTGGTTTATAGGCACAGCAATGGCCGCCCACGGTGCTTGTAAAAAGCTTAGATATTTAAGTCAAAAGCTCAAAGACAAACCAGTTTGGTGTTTCTTTCAGGACAGAAAGTGGGCTACAATGGGTCACTTAGGGCGGTTCATGGCCCCCACTTATTGCAATTGCAAATTATGCACCGTGGAGACAGGAATCCCAACACTTGCTGTCAAGATTTTAATGGTCCACTAATAACTCGATTTAATTCCAAAAAATTAATTTGATATTAAAATACTTTCAATCTTAAAAAAGTACATTTGACTAAAAAATTTAAGTAAAAATGAAATTATAAAATAAAATTAAAATAACATAACATAAAAAAATTAATAACTAATAAGTTAGAATAGGACACCCTCGACTCTACCAGACATATATACCTTATCTATGATTATAATAAATTGTTTTAAATATTTATAATTAAATTTAAAACTAAATTAGAACAACTGAGCTAGATTTATCTTGAATTTCATATATTAGACTTAAAAAATTTTAAATCTGTTTTAAATTATAAAATAAAATTAGTCAGAATATTTTATTGGACTCAATCGAATACTTATCCCTAGCTGCCACACACCATGTGAAGTGCATAACGATGAAAAACGTGAAAATGTGTTGAGTAGAGCACCTATGGTTGATTTGCACTTTGGGAACAAAGAGAAGACAAAAAATGGTCTTCAATTTTCCCTGACAAGGTAGGCTCATACTCCATGGAAAATCTATAAAAAAAAAATTATTAACTCAACATAAACACTTACATTTGTCAACCGATCCGCATGTAGTTTATTTATCGTATTTAGTAGTTTTTTTTTCATTTAACTATTGATGATCATTAGCTAACAAAATGCCAAAACCCAGACAAGAGAATCAGATATTGTGATCATTAATATAAAATCATACTGGCAGCATCAAAAGACTTACTGATCAAGGTTGATAACCCTATCTTGGTCCATCAAAAGAGAGTAAGAGGATGAAGATGATGATGATGATGATGATGGAACAGTGGATAACAGAGCCTCTTCCTTTGTTCCATCATGCTCGATGAAAAAACTATAACTTTGAGAATCATGCAAAACCAGGACTTTAAAGATTAAACTCACATTCAGAGCAAGTGACAAAACCAGCAAGTTCTTCACTGTCAAAACACTCAACAAGCTCGCCATCTCTCTCTCTCAGAGAGACAGAGGACAAAGAAGAAGAAAAACCAGCAAGTGATTATAGGAAAACCATGAAAACGAAATCAAAAGCACAGAAAGAGTACCCTTTACCCAGAAAAAAAAAAGTAGCTGAGAACTGGTTTCAAGAAAGAAAGGGAATTTTCTAGTTATCCAAACATGAATGGAGAAAATAAAGAAAAGGGCATTTACTGTTTTCTTGAACAAACCAAAACGTACACAATCGAGGGAAAAGAAGAAGCAAAGCATTTAACTGCAGAGTAGAGATTTTCTCGGGAATCAATAAATCCCACCATGCCGATTTTTCAACAAAAAAGAAATCCCAGATCTCGAGAACAATTGGAAGCAAGAAGAGCAGATTCGGTGTTCCATATTTAGATGAATAATGGAGGCTATATAGAAGTACGAGGAAGGGGGGGGGGGAAAGTGGGAAAGTGCTCTGTTTCAAGAGAAAAAAGATGCTTTGATTTCATTTAAATTTTAATTTTGCTTGTTCTGACGCTGTCTGTCCAATTATTTTTTAATTGTAAGATAAAATAATGGAGTTTTTGATTTGATCTGAATAAGAATTAAAGCTTTGAATTAATTATTTATTTATTCTGATATTTTTCATAGCTGAGACCAACCTTTTAAACACTTGGAAGGTTCTTTTTGCTTAAATCAACACCTTTGTAAAAGAAGTATGTGCCAGAGCTTTGACAAGCTGGGAATGTGAATAGGGTTAACAACTCGAATTGTGATTTTATGTTTCTTTATCGATCAACTATGTTGGGAAACTGTTGGTGGAATGTTAGATTTTCATTCATCCTAAGTGATTTTTTTTAATGGAGAATCATCGTTAGTGAAATAACGATCGTTGGTCGATATTTTTTATATCGTAAAGAGTTTATCACAAAAAATAAAAGAAAAGGTGGTTGTAAAATGAGTCATCCTCGCCTCTAATCTCAATCAAAGGTGTTTATAATAGTCTTCGATATGCATATCAATTGTATGATCATTATAATTATTTGTATGTTAATAGGCTAGATATATATAATCATTAAATTTTAGATTTAGTTTTAATAGATCACATGAATCTGTCAAATGTCTTGTTTATATATTGTGACTGGTTCAAAAACATTTGCTCGAAAAAATTAGGTTCTCTAAAAGCTTCGATGATCGCTGATGTTCGTCTAGGATCTCAGTTGATGGAGAATTAATGATTTTCGAAAATTGTTCTCCAAAAATATAACTAAATTTATAAGTTAAAAGTAACTTAAGTTAGATCATCGTCAGATAAAACACGCATAAGATATAAAATTTGATACGATTCAATTTTTTCTAGTTTTATAAAACTTTAATTAGATTTTTTTTAAATTAATAATAATTAAAAACTTCATCCATTAAAAAAAGGTTTTAAAGTTTTTAAAAGCTTTATGTAAACCCCCCATTATTTTATCAAGATTCACCACTATTGAAAGTGGTGCTCAAGGTAAGGACTGGGGGCATAAATTAGGGTGTTAAATGGGTACAATTTTATAGATTTTGTATCGTATTCGTTCTAATTGGGGTAAGGATGGGTATAATTTTAGTGAGTAGTGGGCTGGTGTGGATTTAGAAAGTGGTATCTGTCGCGGGTAGTGGGCAGGTGATGGGTTTGAGACCTTACTCGTCCCGTATCTGCCCGCCCACTAAAAACTCATTAAATTTTGGACTATTATAAATTTAGATATAATTTTAGGGTTTGTTATTTATGTGTGCCAAATAACAAAAATATTATGTGTTTGCCATTTATGTTTCTAAGCTTTAATTATGTATTTTATTATGGTGTTTTATGTGCTTTAAGATCTATGTTAACACTTAACTCAGATAATCCTTGGTTTATTTTATTATGTTTCTTAATGAACGTGTTTGTTTTATGTTTTTTGTTTATGTATAACTTAAGGTTGCTGTCAGGTGAGTCTAGCTGGGTACGTCTCTAGTTGGGTAGTGGGTGTGGGGATGGATTTGAGAATGTACCCGCATGAGCGGGTGTGGATTTGAAATTTTTTACTCATCATGAGTGGTGGGTGGGTGATAGATTTAAAAATATTATGTGGGTATGGGGATGGGAGAGGGGGTATCCGCACCTGACCCGCCCGTTTGTCATCCTTAGGCAAAACCTTTATCAATCAATTAAGCTTGTTTCTCTATTTTAGATATTCAATTAAATTTAAATTTATTAAGTTATTTGAGTGATTTTCTTAAATGTTATTCTTTTTAAAAGTTTTAAGCTCGAGCAGTTGTATTTATAAGATGTGTGTACATTTTTAATAGTTAGAAATTACTATAAATAGATATCATCTTATAATCACTTATATTATTTCAAAAACAAAAATCCACTAATGTTTCGTATAAATTCTATAATTATAATATCAAACGTATTTTAATAAATTCACTCATTAAGTATATTATGATTCAATTATGTAGTCTTATTCAAATAATATCAATACCAAATAGGTCAGAACCATCATCGGGTGTTCAATTTATGTCACGTTCCATACATGTCGTATAGAGTATAATCTTTTTATATATATATATATATATATAGAAGTATCGAGTACAATATTACCACACATCTCATATATTAATGATAAAATATAGTATTAATATCTAATCGTCCGACATAATAACACCTCTAAAGCTAAATAACATAATGTCACCACACATAACAATCATCGTAACAATGCCCCATAAGGCAATCATCGTGTTCACAACAAATTATAACCTCTCTACGTATCATAGATTTGGATATTTGAAGTATAACATCTTAACTTAATCCGAAAAATTTATTTCATTCGTGAATATAATAATTAAATCTAAAGAGTCGTTTGTTTCTATCGTTATGAATGATATCTCCCACAACAACCGCACTATCGATGAAACGAACGACTCCATCAACATTCACAATGGGCATATCTAATCTCCTTTTAAGTGGGCTAAGATTTGAATCATGCTATCCTACACGCACAGTGAATTCAAAAAAATATTATTGATTGAGCCAATATAAACATAATAAAAAAATTATCTAATATTTCTCATATATATAATATTTTAAAATTTAAAATTTAATAACTAAAACTAATATAATTACATGTTCTAAAAGAACTTTAAAATTTATGTGAACAAAATGAATAGTTCGAAATATAATATTTTCACTGATCAAGATGAACTTTGTTTTTCATAGAACCAAAATCATCCATGATCGAGGCAAAAGAAACAATGAATAATCTTCATTGAATAAAATAAGATATGAGGAGTATCTTTTAAATTTTTATTATAATCTTGTAGGTGATGTTGAAAAGTCGTTAAACAAACGCCAATAACACCAAAAATTCATAAGTAATTAAATAACAAAATAAAATAAAATTATGAAAATTCAGGAAAAAATAATGAAAAACCTGTAGAAGAACATCAAAATTTTAAAATTCTAGTTAGGATATTCGATTACCTTCATGTTTTAAAAAGAGTTCTTTAAATTTGGAAAGTACAAAATGAATATAAATAAATAAAAAAAGAGAGAGCATCACACTATATAAGTTGTAAGATTTTGAAGATATACAATTGTAGTTAGATTTAAAATTAAAAAATTAAATAGGACTCTAGTTAATTTAATTTTGATTAAATAGCATTAAAATTAAAATTAAATTTAATAAAATTATAAAATTATATTTGTTTTCTCTTAGTATAAAATTTTGAAGATAAAAAATTATAACTAAATTTAAAATTAAATAGAACTATAATTAATTTAATTTTAATTAAATAAAATTATAATTATATTCAAATTTAATAAAATTATATAATAAAAAACATTCTTTTAGCATGGGGGCCATGACGTAGGTAGGCCCAGGTCTACCTCCGCACCTGTCTACCCACATATTTAGTCCTCATAAGGTGGTGACATATACCAACACTTTATTAATAGAATAAAATTAATTAAAATATTATTAATTATTAAGTAAAAATAAATAATTTTAAAAATATATCACGTTAATTTTCGTTATTCATGATAATATTTCCATCCATCCAATGAGAATCTTTAAAATATGCTGGGGTTATATTGATATTTGGAGAAAACAGTAATAAAGAAGAGAGGGACAAGACAGCTACATTCCTAATCTGCAAATAGGTTGGACCTCAAGGAGCCGTCAATGGACCACAAAATCAGCACCGTGGAAGACGAAAGGCAGGACCAGAATGAGACCTGCACTCATTGGTTTTTTAACAAAGCCCAACCCTATGCTCCACAGGCTACGCTCGAGGGCATTCAAGTCTGGTCATTGTCGTCTCTGCCCCCACAGCAAAACCTCTTAACCCTACTACCTTATTTAATTAATGAATGAAAGTTTAGGCTTTTTATAAAAATATTTTAAATTTATTTAATAATCTTAATGATTAAAACAAGTATTGTTCATTTGTTCTCTATTCAAATTTTAAATTTAAGTAATTGAATCTATAAAATATATATTGATAATGCTTATAAATAAATATTACATCGTAATAATTCCGATTTTTTCAAAAATTAATCTCTATTTTACACTATTAAATTTTTCAGAGAATATTTTCGTAGTTAAGGTTCAATATTTCCAAATACACACTTCTTGAAAAGCTATAATCTTCTGACATAATCTCTAATAGTTATCATACGAATTTTCAAAATTAATTGACAATTGATCATATTAACCATCTACCTATCAATCTATAAATAATAATCATGATTATTAATCTTATAAATCATTATAAAATCTCTTAATTAAAATCGATTTTTTTTCTCTAAAATTCTAATTCTTTATAAAATAAGAAATCTCAACATTGACCAATTGTCACTTCATCACCGACTATAACTATTTGTTAAAATAAATAAAAATTCTATCAATATAAATAAAATTTAAAATATTTATTATATTATTTTATAATATTTAAATTAATTAATTAATTAATATATCCGATATATATCAATTCAAAGAATTGTCCCCCATTTCGTCAACTTGGAAAATATAGTTGAAATGACCATTACTTTTGTCCACATATGATTTGCTTTTTACTGGGTAAATGACACGATGAAAATAGGC